GTGTATAACAATTCTTTTTGTATGTTTACTGATAATTTGAGAGTTATTTCTATTCTACAGATGCACAGAGACAGACAGAAAGTCTGAAGCTCAAATTAAAAATCAAAGATCGATATGCAACATTCTATGAGGGGACAGCAGCGAAAGGGAAGCACAATCCTCTCCATGACATTTACACAGAGCTCTACATAGTGGAGGACTGGAAAGTTCAGTGAAGTTTTCAGTGGAAACCAAAACATTAAAAAAGTGCTGACACTGGGAATAGCGGGAATTGGGAAAACAGTCTCTGTTCAGAAGTTTGCTTTAGATTGGGCTGAAAGAAAATCCAATGCAGACATAGATTTTGTTTTTATTATTCCCTTCCGACAGCTGAATCTTCTAAAAGATGAAGAATATAGCCTTCCTGAACTACTTCTTTACTTCTACCCTGAACAACAACTTCTAAAAGAAACTGCATTTTTTTAAAAGGTAAATATAGGTGTGTTTTCATCTTTGATGGACTGGATGAACTTAGAAGTCCACTGAATTTTGACCAGAAGGAAATATCAGCAGTAACAAAGAAGGCAAGTGTTAATGTGCTGGTAAGAAGCCTCATCACAGGAGCACTGTTTCCATCTGCTCTCGTCTGGATCACCTCCAGGCCTGCAGCTGCAGATCAGATCCCATTAGACCAAATCCACCTCGTGACTGAAGTACAAGGATTTGTCACAGACCAGCAGAAGGAGGATTACTTCAGGAAAAGAATCAGGGATCAGGATCAAGCTAACAGAATCATCTCACACATCAAACAGTCAAGGACTCTCTACATCATGTGCTACATACCAGTCTTCTGTTGGATCACATACATTGGTCTTCAGCAAATCATGAAAAATCACATTGCAGTAGAAAAATTCAAATCCTTAACACAAATGTACACACACTTTCTAATCATTCAGATGGAAACAAAGAGCAAAAAATATTATAAAACTCATCAGAAAGATACAAAGAAACTGCTGGAATCCAACAGAGATATTCTTCTGAAATTGGCTGAGCTGGCTTTTAAACAGCTGATGGATGGCAATGTGATATTCTATGAAGAGGACCTGAGTGAAAGTGGCATTGATGTCACTGAGGCCTCAGTGTATTCATGGATTTTCACTGAGATCTTTAGGGAGTCAAGTCAAGTCAAGTCAAATTTATTTATATAGCGCCATTTACAACAGATGTTGTCACAAAGCAGCTTTACAAAGAATCCGGGTCCACGCCCCCAGTGAGCAAGCCTTGGCGACAGTGGCAAGGAAAAACTCCCTCAAAAGGAGGAAGAAACCTTGAGAGGAACCAGACTCAAAAGGGGAACCCATCCTCCTCTGGTCGACACCGGATAAGAGGACAGACACAAAACAGTATAGTGGATACAGTTTAACACCACCGTGCAGTGCACCGGCCGCATCTCAGGTCAGACCCTCTTAGGACAGGCAGCCGCTCAGCTCAGGGAAAGAGAGGGGGAGGGGGAAGGGGGGGTAGAGGGGAGGGGGGATGAGAGGGACATAGTTAGAAAAACAAATTAACCAAAGGCTCGACTAAACAGGTACGTTTTTAGCCTAGACTTAAAGATAGAGGCTGTGTCTGAGTCCCGAACACAGACTGGTAGGCTATTCCAAAGCTGGGGGGCTTTGTATGAAAAGGCTCTTCCCCCTGACGTAACTTTATTTATTCTGGGTACTAATAATGAGCCCGCATCTTGTGATCTAAGTGGGCGTGTCGGTTGATAATAGGAAATAAGGTCACTGAGGTACTGAGGAGCAAGGCCATTCAGTGCTTTATATGTCAGTAGAAGAATTTTGTACTCAATGCGGAATTTAACTGGCAACCAATGTAAGGTACACAAAATTGGGCTAATGTGGTCGAATTTCCTGGTTTTGGTGAGAACTCTGGCTGCAGCGTTCTGGACTAACTGAAGCTTGTTAAGGTTTTGGCTGGAACAACCAGAAAGCAGAGCGTTACAGTAATCTAACCTGGACGAGATGAAGGCGTGAACTAGCGTTTCTGCATCCTGTAGCGACAGTGCATTTCTTAATTTAGCGATGTTACGCAGGTGGAGGAAAGCTATTCTGGTAATATTGGTAATATGCTCATCGAAGGCCAGACTGGGATCAATCGTGACACCAAGGCTTTTTACAGATGTGCCTGGTGCAATTGAGAAACTATCGAGATTAAGAGTAGACGTAGGCAGATTATCCCTAGCAGCTTTTGGACCAAGAAGAAGGACTTCGGTTTTGTCTGAATTTAGTAAAAGGAAGTTGCTTGACATCCAGTCTTTAATGTCTTTGACACAGTCCTCTATCTTATTAAGTTCAGTTTTGTCCTCTGGTTTAGCTGAAATATATAATTGTGTATCATCGGCATAGCAGTGGAAACTGATGCCATGTTTTCTAATGATGGTACCTAGTGGTAGCATATATAAGGTAAATAACATGGGTCCTAAGACAGAGCCCTGTGGAACACCATACTTTACTCTTGTGAGAGCTGATCGTTCACCATTTACATTAACAAACTCAAAGCGATCACAAAGGTAAGATTTGAACCATGAAAGAGCTTTACCTGTCACTCCTACTAGTTTCTCAAGCCTGTCTAATAGAATGGAATGGTCTATTGTGTCAAATGCTGCACTAAGATCGAGTAAAACCAGTAAGGATATGTTTCCTTTGTCAGCGGATAATAAAAGATCATTTACAATATTCACTAACGCTGTTTCGGTACTATGGTGAGGCCTGAAGCCAGACTGAAATTTTTCATATATATTACTCCTATGCAGATGGGAACATAATTGTTTTGCCACGGCTTTCTCTAAAATTTTTGATAAAAAGGGAAGATTTGAAATAGGTCTATAGTTTGATAGCTCAGAGGGGTCAAGACTAGGTTTCTTTATTAAGGGTTTAATTACACCTAATTTAAGAGATTTTGGAACATACCCGAGGCTGAGAGAAGAGTTTATTATAATTAGAAAGGGCTTAGTTATTTCTGGCAAAACATCTTTAAGTAAACCTGTAGGAATAGGATCTAGTATACAAGTTGTTGTTTTTGTAGATGAAATAATTTGGACGAGCTCTGTTTGTTGGAGTAAAGTAAAAGACTCCAGCGTCTCTGTAGTGGTTATACTGCACTCTAGATCTAGATTAGGTTTATAGGACACTGCACTGCAATGCTGCGCATTTTGAATTTTGTGCCTAATCAATTCAATTTTATTATTGAAGAAGTTCATGAAGTCAATGCTGCTGTAGGCTGATGGTATCTGGGCTTCAGTAGCTGCTTGATTATTAGTTAATTTAGAGATAGTACTGAATAGTAGCCTAGGATTATTCTTGTTATTTCCAATCAATGACGAGAGATAGGCTGAACGTGCTGACTTTAGTGCTTTTCTATAGTCTATAAGACTCTCCTTCCAGGCAGAATGGAAAACCTCAAGTTTAGTCTGACGCCATTTACGCTCTAATCGCCTAACAGTCTGTTTCATAGCTCGAGTATGGTCATTGTACCATGGAGCGAGCCTTTTCTGCCTTATTCTTTTACTTTTTAATGGAGCCACATTATCTAAAGTGGAGCGAAAAGTGTCTTCCAAACATTTAGTCAGCATATCTAATTCATTGGGTTCAGACGGACAACTAATTAAGGACGAAAGATCTGAAAGGTTTTCAATAAAGCTATTGGGTGTAGACGATGTTATAGTACGTTTAACACTATAGCGTGTGGATGGACATATATTACGACTAAAATTGATTTCATATGAGATTTAGTAGTGGTCTGACACTGCTGTGGTCTGAGGAAGGATGGCCAAATGCTTAATGTCTATACCTAAGGTCAATATTAAGTCTAGAGTGTGGTTACAGTAATGAGTAGGCCCCATAATATTTTGAGTGAAGCCAAAACAGTCTAAAATAGATATGAATGCCTTACTTAGCGGATCCTGTGGTTTGTCTATGTGGATATTAAAATCTCCAACAATTATTACTTTATTCGAGATTGTTATTAAACTAGATAACAGGTCAGTAAATTCCTGTAAAAACTCAGAGTAAGGCCCCGGTGGCCTGTAGATTATGATAAGTGAAAATGAGCTCTCATTTGTTCCTCGACTGCTAACGTTGAGAAACTGAATTTCAAAGGAAGAAAAATTACGGTCTGCTTTCTGGGTTAGTCCTAAAATGTTGGTGTAAATGGTTGCTATGCCTCCACCCCAACCGTATAAGCGAGGACTATGTACATAGCTATAGCCTGTTGGCATGGCTTCATTTAAAGCCAAGTACTCTTCAGGTCTAATCCACGTCTCTGTTAGACACAGAGCATCAAAGTCGTGATCAGTAATAATTTCATTAACAATGACGGCTTTAGGTGTGAGAGATCTTATGTTAAGCAGTCCTAGTTTTAGACCAAAGGTGCGGTCATGGCAGAGTGGTACAACTGGTCTGATATTAATCAAGTTATTAGAGCAAACACTTCGAGGCTTTTTGATGCTTTGTTTTATTCGGGGAACAGACACAGTCTCTATTGGGAGAAACCTATGAGCATTTATATTTATAGAATAAGCTTTTATATCAGCACTTGCCTTATTTACACTATAAGTGCTAGTAGTCGTCTTATTTTCAGTACTAACACTAGCATTATAAGCTGTAGAAAGGAGGGAGGGAGGAATGTGTGTTTTTCCAGAGGACGATGTACTGCTTTTTTCATCTGAGCTTTCAGGAGTTCCTGGCTGCTGTCTATGTGTTTCGCTGCTATGAGAGCAAGAACGTGAAGACATTACAGATTTTTATCCCATGGTACAGAGAGCAGTCTGAAACTGTTTCACTGGATATGCTGCTGATGGGAGCAATGGATAAAGCTGTAAAGAAAAATAATGGAAACCTGGATCTTTTCCTCCGTTTCCTGCTAGGCATCTCACTGGAGTTCAATCAGAGACTCTTACAGGGTCTACTGACACAGAGCAACTCAGAGAGAACCAGAGAGCACATCAAGAGTTTACTCACAAGGGATGAAGAATATCAAATCTCAACTGAGAGATCCATCAATCTGTTCCTCTGTCTGTCTGAAATGAATGACCAGTCTCTCTCCAGAGATCTTCTGGAGTATCTAAAATCAGAGAAACGCTCAGAAAAGGTACTTTTTACTGGAGAGTGTTCAGCACTAGCCTATATGCTTCTGAACTCAGAGGAGGTTCTGGACGAGTTGGACCTGAAGAAATACAACACCTCAGTGAAGGGTTATAGGAGACTGATCCCAGCTGTGGCTATCTGCAGAAAAGCTCTGTAAGTGTTAAATCCATATTATTATAATATCTACATTTAAATATTGATTGAATACAATAATTGACAGACAAATAAAAGGCTTGGTAATGCTCTGTGAACAAATGCAATACTTTGCAACATGATTAAGCTAAAACCCAGGCTTATATACTAACTGGTACATACAACAAGGAACAAGTGAGTGTAATCAGTAGTCATTATATTCTTCATTACATTCTTGTTTTATTTACATTTACTTACATTTTACACAGCGTCCCAAGTTTTTTTGGAGCTGGGGTTGTATTTAAAGTCCATGCTATCAGCGCAACCCCCCACTCCCCCAAGCCTCTCACATTACGATTCCATCTCTTCTGTCCCACTTTGCCTTAAAGGGGAGAGTTGTTTCGGTGTTAGCAATTTGCATAATAACTGTACAACCTCTCATGAATCTTTTACCTCCAAATCACAGGTTCCTGTCGAACCACCCTGGTAGTAGGTGATCATTATCAGGAACATTAATGATCACTCATCTGTCACCCACTACTTCTCAGGCATTAAGGTCCATGATTTTATGTAGATGCTCCCTAGCCTGTTAGATAAGTATTGTTATGTTAGTAATATTGTAATACACATTAGTTTTGACAACACTAGAGGTCAAAGTTCAGAATTGCTTAAAAGAGAATTCATATGTTTGTCATCCAGAAAAGACTTGGTGAATGGGTTTCTATATTTGATCCAGTCCCTTCCCTGGGAAAAGGTGCAGGATGGTTCAGCCGCATTTGAAGTTTATATGAATGGCTTGAAAACACTCCATTATTATGACTTTTATTGACAATTTTAATCTTTTCTAGAACGGTCTCTCACTGATAGGATCCACCCCAACAGACTTGGTTCACAAATAATAAGCTACAATGTACAGTATCTCACAAAAATGAGTACACCCCTAACATTTCTGCAAATATTTTATTTTTTCACGGGACAACACTATAGAAATGAAACTTGGATACAACTTAGAGCAGTCACTGTACAGCTTGTATAGCAGTATAGATTTACTGTTAGCACTGCCTTAACCCTCTTGGGCATGGAATTCACCAGAGCTGCAGAGGTTGCTCCTGGAATCCTCTTCCACTCCTCCATGATGACATCACGGAGCTGGTGGATGTTAGACACCTTGCGCTCCTCCTCCTTCCACTTGAGGATGCCCCACAGGTGCTCAATTGGGTTTAGGTCGGGAGACATACTTGGCCAGTCCATCACCTTTACTTTCAGCAAGGCAGTTGTCATCTTGGAGGTGTGATTGGGGTCGTTATTGTGTTGAAAAACTGCCATGCGGCGCATTTTCCAAAGGGAGGGGATCATGCTCTGCTTCAGAATGTCACAGTTCATGTTGGAATTCACGTTTCCCCCAGTGAACCACAGCTCCCCAGTGCCGGCAGCACTCATGCAGCTCCAGACCATGATGCTACCACCACCATGCTTGACCATAGGGAAGAGACAGTTGTCTTGGTACTCCTCACCAGAGCGCCAGCACACATGCTGGACACCATCTGAGCCAAACAAGTTTATCTTGGTCTCGTCAGGCCACAGGACATGGTTCTAGTAATCCATGTTCTTCGACTGCTTGTCTTCAGCAAACTGTTTGCGGGCTTTCTTGTGCATCAGCTTCAGAAGAGGCTTTCTTCTGGGACAACGGCCATGCAGATTGGGTTGATGCATTGTGCGGCATATGGGCTGAGCACTGACAGGCTGACCTCCCTCTTCTTCAACCTCTGCAGCAATGCTGGCAGTACTCATGCGTCTATTTTTTTGAAGCCAACCTCTGGATGTTGACGCTGAGGTTGAACACGTGAACGCTGAGTCCACGCTGAACACGTGGACTCAACTTCTTTGGTCGATCCTGGTGAGGCCTGTTCCGAGTGGAACCTATCCTGGAAAACCACTGTATGACCTTGGCCACTGTGCTATAGCTCAGTTTCAGGGTGTTAGCAATCTTCTTATAGCCTAGGCCATCTTTGTGGAGAGCAACAATTCTATTTTTCACATCCTCAGAGAGTTCTTTGCCATGAGGTGCCATGTTGAATATCCAGTGGCCAGTATGAGCAAATTGTACCCAAAACACCAAATTTAACAGCCCTGCTCCCCATTCACACCTGGAACCTTGTAACTCTAACAAGTCACATGACACCAGGGAGGGACAGCGACACAATTCGGCACAATTTGGACATGTTCACTGTGAGGTGTACTCACTTGTGTTGCCAGCTATTTAGACATTAATGGCTGTACGTTGAGTTATTTTCAGAGGACAGTAAATCTATACTGCTATACAAGCTGTACACTGACTACTTTGTTATATCCAAGTTTCATTTCTATAGTGTTGTCCCATGAAAAGATATAACAAAATATTTGCAGAAATGTGAGGAGTGTACTCACTTTTGTGAGATAGTGTATGCTGTACTCCAAACGACTCCCAGCAATGCCTGCTCAAATATTTCTGTAATTATCAGTAGTCAGCCTATGATTAGCATGACAAATATAAAAAGGCAAAATGCTTTGCAATCCAAAAATTGTAACTTTGTTAGGAACCCAGACAACCTTATTCTCATTGAGCTGTCTCTGCTCCCCCCCGAAAGTCTAAACATACTGTCAGCTCTATAAAAGATCCTCTCAACTTTAAGAGCAAAAAGGGTCTAGGCATACTTCACCTAAACATTAGGAGTCTACTTCAGAATGGTAAACCAGATAAATTGAAATCTCTAATTTCCCCATCCGATCCAAATATTGTTGTATAACTTAAAATAATGATCTAGCTCTTAATTAATACAATTTATATAGAATCAGGGGTGGAAATATTACTGAAAATCCTTGCTTATGTAAAAGTACTGTTACTGTAATCATAATTTATTTGAGTACAAGTATCAATACAGGAAGTTACTTATATAAAAGTAAATAAGTAGTTTATTGTAAAACTACTTGAGTACTCAATTTAATTTTTGAATATTCACAATCACAGTCTGAAAATATTCCTGAGGTGACGGCTACATTACTGGAATTACCCATCTTGTGTCAGGAACAAGAAATAAAAAAGGTAATAAAAAGGCAGCTTGAAAGTCCAAGGAGCAATCAAAAGACAAGGGAAGGGGCTGGCAGTAACTAATTCTGTAACTGTGGAATTAGCCACAACCTATAACTTAACAGAGCAGTACTAGAAAAGTAAAAAAAAAAAGCTCTCATGAACTAAACATAGTTAACTTCGCAATAGCGGTGGCTTAGTTAATGGAAAATGGTCCAACGTCTTTTCTTCACTGCAAAATACACACCACTACATGCAGAGAATCAGAAAAGGCTGCATATACTCATGAGTGTCCAGTTAGTGATCATAACTGCAAGGTGGAGACTGCAGCAACTCGCTAGTGGTGTGTGGCTTGGTCCTTTGTGTCACACTCACCACCGTAGCTGTTCTCACCGTGTGCTAGTGCCTTTGAGACCCTCGCAGTACCGTGTGGCAGCTCTCAACATTGTTTGCATGCTCTCCACACGGCAATCCTTGTAGCCTTCCACTTTCTGCTTTCTGTTTTCTGCTTTCTTCTTCCTCGCTGCACTGTGCTACCAGGGAACCACTCCCCAAAAATTGCTCACTTCACACCTGCTGGAGTCCCCTGTTAAAATAAAAGTCCCCACCTTCGAACACCTCTTCACTCTGTTGATTTGTCCATTATTAATGCAAGGTCCAACTCAATTGGCTAATCATTTAGTAGAGAGTTGTCAGGGAGATAGTAGAAAAAATAACACCAAATAACACTATAATACATCCAAATCGCAAATACACAAATCAAGGGAAAAAAAAGGAAAAAAAAACACAAACCAATATTTAACCTTTCTAACAAACACTTTCGCAGTACATTCACTGTTTGTGCTCTGTTTTGATAAATTTAACTGCATTTTCTTCTCATCGGTTTTTGAGCTGATACATACATCATCTAAACCGCTTATCCTTCTGGGTCGTGGTGGGGTGCTGGAGCCTATCCCAGCTGTCATTGGGCAGAAGGCAGGATACACCCTGGACAGGTCGCCAGTCCATCACAGGGCAGACAGACATACACATTCACACCTAGGGGCAATTTAGCGTGTCCAATTAGCTCAACTGCATGTTTTTGGACCGGAGGAAACCGGTCCAAGGAAGACATGGGGAGAACAGGCAAACTCCACACAGAAATGACCACACAGAAATGACCCTGGTCGCCCGGCCGGGAATCGAACCCAGGCCATTCTCGCTGTGAGGCAACAGCGCTACCCACTGCGCCACCGTGCTGCCCTGAGCGGATACACTCATCATTTATTTTTATTCTGTGATGTTAAACATTGAAAATTAAAGTAGCAAAGTAAAAGTATTTCAAAAAAATTAACTCAAATAAGGGTAGAAGTACTATGATTTAATTTTACTCCAAAAAGTACCATTATGGGGGAATTGCACTCAAGTACAGTAACAAAAGTAAATGTAATTCATTACTAAAGCTAGTACTCAGCTCAGATACTGCCAGAAACAAAAGGCCATGTTGATACCTAGAGAAAAGAAACAGAGTTAACATAGCACAGGGCAATACATTTCAATAAATGCAATACAATACATTACAATAAATACTTAACTTAGTGCTCACTTAAATGCTGTAGAAAGAGATGTGTCTTCAGTCTGCGTTTGAAGACCACAAGAGAGTCTGCTGTTCGGACAGCCAGTGGGAGTTCGTTCCATCAATACTGAGTTGAATAGACCAAATGGAAAAGAAATTACTAGGTCAAACTTGATAGACCTAAACTTATCCAATAGAAGTGAAAAAAAAATACTGCCTCTGATGTTTTCAATCTTTGTTTTAGTGACCACTGCCCTTTCCAATGCATTAGAAGTATCAGCTTAAAAAAAACATGCTTATAGATGTTGGTTAAAAGAAATTTTGGTAGCACTTTTATTTTATGGTACAGTAAGTTACTAGTATTTAATAGGTAAATATGTACTATTTATCAGTAATTTTCTGGTACATACTCTGTATGTACATAAGAATTAAATGAAAAACTACCTGCTACTACAATTCTGCACAGCGATGAGACCTAGGGAAACCTGGAAGATGTGGAGCACAATCCTGGAGTGCTCTGAATTGGCTGTTAAGCTTAATTACTGCGAACAGCCTGATACAATTCAGTCCAGTACTCCAGTCCACATCTTTTGGGTTTTTTGCATGTCTCATCATTGCATATGATGTCATCACCACAGGACAGATGGAGGCTGTAGTTCTGCTCATTAGATCTTGTTCTGAACTTTGTGTTTGACTCTTTATTGAACTTTGCTCTCTGCTTTTTGGATTTAGAAACTTTAGATTTAGAAACAGTATATTATGTAGATATTTCCTGTTTTGAAAATTTGTTTCACTGGTTAACTTGTGCAATACAGTTCCATTTTTGCCTTGATCTTCTGTGTTTTTTTTGCTTCATTTATCTATATTTTACACTACAGTACACACTTAATGTTTACCATTGTTTGTTACCTACATCTGATTTATAACTATATGTATGATTAGGAACACTGTATGGTTATGAATACTATGTATAGTTATGCTCTGCAAGCCATAAATACAAGAAAAGAAATAGTTGCTGTGTAAATAATATGTAGAAAGTTACACTGTATTTTATAGTCCTGTTTCCGTAATGTACCAATTTATATGGAATGAATTACTATACTGGAAAAAAAACACACTGGGTCAGTGGTATCATGCATTTTTTACACCTTTGTCTCATGTACCTGTAGCCTGTACTTCTCTATCACGTAGGTGTGTATTTTCTGAAGCAGTTTGATAGTACTTGCCATTACCTTGTAACTTATATCATTACAATGTGAAATATACCTTATAGAAGTTTCGGTAACACTTTCTTTGAAGGGTGTCTACATAACACATTCATATCACCTTACATAAACACTTCATAACATGTTTATGAATGCTTAAATCAACATTCATAAACTATACATGTTTTACATGATATTAATATGGACTACTATGTCATTTTACCGAAAGATGTTTTTCAAAATAAAAGTCCTCATTTTATTTATTATTTTCAGTGAAACTCCTCTTTTCTGGACTGTCAGCATAAAATGACCTGGCTTTATCCCTTTGGACAGAAAGTGTTTTGACACTTTTTGCCTAGACTTTCAACTTTTTATTTTTTCTCAAGCATTTGTATTTTGCAATATGCTATTCTTTCTGCTTTTTACGCTAATTATTCATATATAAAATGTACTGTTCATTCAACACTCTATACATAATTGTGAAAATGTTACTTAAACTAAGTTTAACTTTCTTGGGGTAAATGCTAACACTGTTATCCCAATTACTGTGGAGGTTTTATTTTTAGTGATGTTCTTCCTCACTTATGGTTTTGGAGAAGGCACAAGTATAACTGTGCATTGATTATCCTGTGTAACTGAGGTTAAATGTGACAAGCACTGTTATCACAAGCAATGATTCCTTTTTTGGCATTACTTCAAAGCACAATCAAGTGGTGGCTCTTTGACTTTCCTCACTCAGGGTGCTGATAATTTGTAAGAAATGTCCTTTATAAATTTACCTTGCTTTGCCTTCACCATAAAAGTGATGGAAGTCACGTTATCCTCACTAAAGTGCATGTTACATGAATGGATGGATCTTGAATGGAATGGATAAGTATTATGGGCCCTGTCCCACCACCACACAAAGTTTGAGACTTTAAGTTGATTGACTGTTCATAGCATATTTATGAGTAATTCACTGTCCATATAGTAAAGTGACATGCAAGACAACATTCATACGTGATTCATAGCATTTTAAGGAGCTGTTAATATACCATATAGTAAAGTGACATGCAAAGCAACATTCATAAGTGATTCATAGCATTTTAAGGAGCTGTTAATATACCATATAGTAAAGTGACATGCAAGACAACATTCATAAGTGATTCATAGCATTTTTAAGAGATATTTACAGACCATGTGTATAAATAGTGATAGTGATTTACAATTAAATATCTACAATTATTTTCCTTACCTTTGCAGCAAGACCCAATGACTGTGAAAAGGAGTCCTTTTTTTTTATTGGCAAGACCAATGTTGAGAACAGGCACTTAAACATGCTGCTCAAAATCAAATCAGGAACCTACAAACTCTTCTGAACATGGAACTGCAAAATAGGCAAACATAAAATAATCCTCCTTTACAGTAAAATAAAGCTCTGCTGATCGTTCAACACAGTTTCAATTATAAATGGTCTAAAACACTGGAGTTAATATAGCCTCTATCTGCTAATTTACCCTTTAACTCTGCAGGCGTGCAGACTTCTGTTCACAGCAGGACAGTCAACAGTCTTGCCCAGCTAGCTAGTAAGTTAGCTAACAAAAAAGCGAAGGGAAAAATTAAGACAAACATCGGCAATTTGGATACGAATGGACTTATATGAATTCATTCACTCCAGTTGGTTTCCCGATATATTTAATCTGTAACGAGAAACTATCAAATACTGAAAAGTCGCGAGGCTGAAATCAGCTTCTCGTTCGCCAGCTTGTTTTTCGAATCTACCCGTTCCACCTTAAATGGCGCCTGAGGTGTCAGAATGTAACTGCTGCAGCATTTAAGGTGGAATGGGTAAATTCGAAAAACAAGCTGGCGAACGAGAAGCTGATTTCAGCCTCGTAAAAAACGAACTTTGAGAGACATTTTACAAGAATTATTTCACTTTTTTACAAAATTATTTTACCTTTCGGCAAAGTTTCATGGTGGAGATGCGAGACATGTGGCTATAGCTGAGCTAAAGGTTAAAGCAGAGCAGCAAAGTCTTTGGTTTCTATACTTTTAGCCTATACTAGCACATTAGCACATACTGAGACATATTACAGCCAGGATAGTAAAATGATTTTTGTTGACACTTCGCTGACCCCTGGTATAGACCACGTCACTAGCCAAACGTGCACCTTGCATTTGGGACTAGCTTAACGTATCACTCTGCATCGCACTGCTGTGCGTCATAAGTAATGCTCGTTAAGGCCCACTAACTACTTCAACTCGACTGGCACCGTTACAAACAGTAAGCTAAGTTAAATCAGTATCAGTTATTTAAGTTTGAAAAAAAGAATGTTGTTAACAAGAGCCGTATAAGGTCTATTAATCTTTGGGGCTTAACTGAATCATGCAACTTAGTTAGTTAGCTAACTAGGTGAGATTAACATGAATGTTAGCTTGATGCATTTTAATAGCTAATGTAAGGTAGCGTTGGCCTGCTAGCTAGTTAGCAAAACTTCTTGGCAACAGTTACTGATCAGCTAGCTAATTTAACTGCTATACTGCTAGTTATATATCATACCACTGCTATGGCAGTCTATCTAGCCCACTAACATAACGTTTATGCGCTTCCAGTATAAATAGGCTTATCCTGTACGTGTAGAGTTCCACACGTCTGACTGCTCATGTTTGATCTTTTTATAGCCAGAAGAGGACAGACAACCAGCAGCAGTGCCAGTATCATGATATCTTCAGACTCTTGCAGTGACTTGTGCCATTTTGTTTATTTTCTTTATATTTTTGTTTGGTTTTTCAGAGAATTTAGAATAATTTCAGTCTAAGAAGAAAAGGAGCAAAGTGAAGGCAGTGCCCCTTAAGTAATGGCCACATGAGGTGGTGTCTTTTATTTTTTGTTTTAGAAAAGAGTTGAAGATTTTATTGAACACATCTGTATTTTGCAGTTCCATGTTTAGAAGAGTTTGTAGTTTCCTGATTTGAGTTTGAGCAGCATGTTTAAGTGCCTGTTCTGAACAGTGGTCTTGCCAATAAAAAGAAAAGGACCTTCCTACTTGTGGTGTTTATTGACTCCTTTTCACAGTCATTGGGTCTTGCTGCAAAGGTAAAGAAAATAATTGTAGATATTGTAAATCACTATCACTATTTATACACATGGTCTGTAAATATCTCTTAAAAATGCTATGAATCACTTATGAATGTTGCTTTGCATGTCACTTTACTATATGGTATATTAACAGCTCCTTAAAATGCTATGAATCACTTATGAATGTTGTCTTGCATGTCACTTTACTATATGGTATATTAACAGCTCCTTAAAATGCTATGAATCATGTATGAATGTTGTCTTGCATGTCACTTTACTATATGGACAGTGAATTACTCATAAATATGCTATGAACAGTCAATCAACTTAAAGTCTCAAACTTTGTGTGGTGGTGGGACAGGGCCATAATACTTATCCATTCCATTCAGGATCCATCCATTCATGTAACATGCAGTGAGGATAACGTGACGTCCATCACTTTTATGGTGAAGGCAAAGCAAGGTAAATTTATAAAGGACATTTCTTACAAATTATCAGCACCCTGAGTGAGGAAAGTCAAAGAGCCACCACTCGATTGTACTTTGAAGTAATGCCAAAAAAGGAATCATCATTGTGATAACAGTGCTTGTCACATTTAACCTCAGTTACACAGGATAATCAATGCACAGTTATACTTGTGCCTTCTCCAAAACCGTGAGGAAGAACATCACTAAAAATAAAACCTCCACAGTAACTGGGATAACAGTGTTAACATTTACCCCAAGAAAGTTAAACTTAGTTTAAGTAACATTTTCACAATTATGTATAGAGTGTTGAATGAACAGTACATTTTATATATGAATAATTAGCGTAAAAAGCAGAAAGAATAGCATATTGCAAAATACAAAATAAAAAGTTGAAAGTCTAGGCAAAAAGTGTCAAAACACTTTCTGTCCAAAGGGATAAAGCCAGGTCATTTTACGCTGACAGTCCAGAAAAGAGGAGTTTCACTGAAAATAATAAATAAAATGAGGACTTTTATTTTGAAAAACATCTTTCGGTAAAATGACGTAGTAGTCCATATTAATATCATGTAAAACATGTATAGTTTATGAATGTTGATTTAAGCATTCATGAACATGTTATGAAGTGTTTATGTAAGGTGATATGAATGTGTTATGTAGACACCCTTCAAAGAAAGTGTTACTGAAGTTTCTTACATTAGTAACTGATGTTATATTAACTACATAGCAAGGTATGCACCAAGTACTTACTACATCTAAATATTACATAATTATGATTAACTGTGTAAGTGCTGCTATACTAAGTAGTACATAGTAAATATACCGAATTTATGAAAAAATGCACTGCAAACGTTGTGATGCCTAATGAGTTTTATTTATAACCCAAAGATCAAATAATTAAAGAAAAACTCTCAAATCTGACACTTGATCTGCTTTCCCCCAGTTCTATGTGCTGTGTTTATTCTTTTGCAGATTAGCTAGCTGTAATCTCACTGAGGATTCCTGTGAAACATTTTGCTCTGCTCTACAATCAGCCAACTCTTGACACTGAAAGAACTGGACCTCAGTAACAACAACCTGCAGGATTCAGGAGTGGTCCTGCTTTCTGCTGGACTGAAGGATTCACATTGTAAAGTGGAGACACTTAGGTGAACTGTCTGTGATAATAATAGCATTAATGGCATTTATGATATACTTGTTCACATGGTTTGAAAATTATCTCATATCTCTCAGTTCACTCCAGTAACATAAAACAGATGTTTGTATTGTCTATACATCATAATGTAATTTATTATTTTCCATAACATTTGAATAACATTGACTGTAATGATGCATGATGTAGATCATATGCTATGGCCTTCACAGTCACTAGATCTCAACCTGTTTGAACATCTGAGGGAGGTTTTGGACTGGCATGTTAGAACATGCGCTTTATCAAAACACCAATTGGAGAACATCTTTTGGAAGAATGGTGTTCCATCTCTCCAGTACTTTTCAGAAACTTGTGCAATTGTTTTTGCACATTGTGCCTTATCAAGACATTATGATGGTTTTGCTTTGTCACCCTTCATCATACTTTCCCTCATTTGCTTGAAATGCTTGTAATGTTTGAGATCAAAATGGATGTAGTTTATTTACAGATCTTGTATTTATTTTCTTTATAGACTTTCCATGTTTCCAAAGAGTTCAGCATCTCACTGTTATTAGTTAAGCGAAGATGTATTAGATTCAAAGCTGTCCTCAATACTAAAAAGCCTGATTTTTTAACTTACAATTACCCAATTATGCATTGTTTTTCTAAGTCAGATGAAAACATTTTAATTTATCATAAATGCTAGCTTGTGAATGTAGTAAGCATTTTGTGTGCTCTGCACACCTTGACAAAGATAGGCCTTTCAGAACAGGATATAGTTGCTGAATTGAAAATTCTTTTGAATTTCTTGCCATGACATCTTTAAAAGTCCTAAGATTAATTTGCAGGAATACCTATAGTAGTTAACAATTACTACTAAACTACATGCAAACTAAATACATGCAATTAGCTGAATGCCAATCATAATTGACTAAGAACATTAATGACTACATTAATTTCCTTGTTGTATTTTTTGCTCTGATTTTTGACATCGTAGTGCTGATTTCACAGAATTTGAAGCTTGCTGTGTTTGTTCTGTACTGCAGCTGTGTCTCTGTGTAAATGCCATCTGTTCCTCTTTCTCCATCCTTTCTGCAGATTGTCTGGTTGTACGGTTAAAGACAAAGGCTGTTGTTCTCTGGCTTCAGCTCTGAAATTAAACCCTTCCCACCTGAGAGAACTGGAACTGTCCTATAATCACCTAGGAGAATCTGGAGTGAAGATGCTGTCTGATCTACTGGACGATCCACACTACGCACTGGACACACTCAGGTTTGGGGGGGGGGTCACTCTCAAAACCTGGTACATTACAGGCCTGTCTGTACCAATAATGTTTAGATTTTGTGTCATTCAGAACTACAGCCTTTAAATGGTCATTTTTGTACAGTACTGGCCACACACTTACGAGGTTTAGTATTTTACAGCTTCTCTTGTGTGCTATGCCAATACAAACATTTACAAAATATATTCAAATTGAGTTGTATAGCATTTTTTCCATTGGGTGTCAACAAAAAACAGTTGTGCACTGCCCTAAAAGTATTCATTAATGTATTCAGTTACAAATATAAATAGAACATAGAAAACATAGAGTAAAGTATTTAGAATACATCTTGGTAAGGCAAAAAAACTATCATACTGTTCCTTGCTGTTATTTGTTGACAGTTTTCTTAAAGTAATTATTCTGTTAAAACATTCCATGAAAATTCCTTTTTTAAAATTTTTAAAATTCGTAATTTTTTTTTCACCACCTGTTTCAGTCTGCTGCTGCTCCCATAATGCCCTGAGCAGGGGTCCAGTACAACACTGATAGTAAATTTATCACTTACGAACATATCCACTACTGAGAAGATTATTAATTTAATTATTGCTTTAAAAGAGCACAGTAATGCCCGGGATTAGTAACTGATCATCACATTGATTTATCAGTCTACTCAGGCTTTAGCAGAGCTCATAAACACTGAAATTAATTACTGTTCACATTGATTTATCAGTCTACTCAGGCTTTAGCAGAGCTCAGTTACACAGAGATTAATAACTGATCACATTGATTTATCAGTCTACTCAGGCTTTATCAGAACTTCATTTAGCCCCATTTAAAGGTGACCATCAACCGTGCCTGCTGGTAGAATTTGGTTCCTCGGGAACAGCAAGTGCCAACATTGCCTCCACAGCCTGGAAGGGTACATTTCTGCCCATTTTCATTGGTGTTGCATCATTGTTGTTTCACTGGAGTAGAACATGAGCTGGATGTATGTAAACGTTGGAGGCATGAATATAAATTAGTCAAGACTGTTATGTAACAATTTAGATTTTTTTTTTTAATTGCAAATGCAGGATTTTCATTAGTAGGAGGAGAGAAAGATGTTTGAGGTTCATCATATGTCAGTTTAATGTATCAAACTGTCTCTGTTCAACTACAATGTTCTATTCTATGGCACCTTTAAAAGTGTTAAAATCATTTTAGAGACTCTGGAAAACAGCATAAATTTAGTTTGCTCTTCATTAAAGGCTGGTTCACGATTGTAAAAAGTCGATTAAAAGGGATTCAAAAAATACCGCAGTTTTTCTAATACAACACCAATATAGTCAACTAAGCAGTGTAGTGCATGGCTTCATTATTTGATTGTGTTCTTGATGGTCAGTCTAATTGGATTTTTTTCACTAAAAAGCAAGTAAATTCATTACATTTCTGTGTGGAAACTAGTTCTGGCGAGATCTGTTTTGGCAGGTTTGTGATCCTATTAGCCATGACAAATAGAGTGGGGATATTTTTAATGTTTCTGCTAATAATCTTGGAGAAATGTAGCTGTCTAGCTTTGCATAACTCAGAGTTAAAACTACACAGATTGTTTTGCCTGTCCCAAAATGAGGCGTTCCACTAAAATATTGTTTTTCTAATAAAAAAAGAAGGCTTTTATTTTGAAAAAAAGGTTTGTCAGCAAAATTACATAATAATCCATTTTGATACAATATAAAACTGTATACTTTATCAATGTTGATTTAAACATTTATGAACATGTTATGAAGTGTTTACAGTATCTCACTAAAGTGAGTACACCCCTCACATTTCTGCAAATATTTTATTGTATCTTTTCATGGGACAACCTATATAAATGGCACTTAGACATAACTTAAAGTAGTCAGTGTACAGCTTGTATAGCAGTATAGATTTACTGTCCTCTGAAAATAACACACAGCCATTAATGTCCAAATTGTGCTCAAAGTGTCAATATTTTGTGTGACCACCATTATTATCTAGCACTGCCTTAATGCTCTTGGGCATGGAATTCACCAGAGCTGCACAGGTTGCTACTCAAATCCTCTTCCACTCCTCCATGATGACATCACGGAGCTGGTGGATGTTAGACAGCTTGCGCTCCTCCTCCTTCTGCTTGTGGATGCCCCACAGGTGCTCAATTGGGTTTAGGTCGGAAGACATACTTGGCCAGTCCATCACCATTACCTTCAGCAAAGCAGTTGTCATCTTGGAGGTGTGTTTGGGGTTGTTATCATGTTGGAAAACTGCCATGAGGTGCAGTTTTCGAAGGGAGAGGATCATGCTCTGCTTCAGAAAGTCACAGTACATGTTGGAATTCATGTTTCCCCCAATAAACCACAGCTCCTCAGTGCCGGCAGCACTCATGCAGCTCCAGACCATGATACTACCACCACCATGCTTGACCGTAGGAAAGAGACAGTTGTCTTGGTACTCCTCACCAGTGCACCACCACACATGCTGGACACCATCTGAGCCAAAAAAGTTTATCTTGGTCTCATCAGGCCACAGGACATGGTTCTAGTAATCCATGTTCTTCGACTGCTTGTCTTCAGCAAACTGTTTGTGGGCTTTCTTGTGCATGAACTTCAGAAGAGGCTTCCTTCTGGGACAACGGCCATGCAGACTGAGTTGATGCATTGTGCGGCGTATGGTCTGAGCACTGACAGGCTGACCTCCCACTCCTTCAACCTCTGCAGCAATGCTGGCAGTACTCATGTGTCTATTTTTTGAAGCCAACTTCTGGATGTGATGCTGAACACGTGGATTCAACTTCTTTGGTCAACCCTGGCGAGGCCTGTTCCGAGTGGAACCTATCCTGGAAAACCGCTGTATGACCTTGGCCACCGTGCTATAACTCAGTTTCAGGATGTTAGCAATCTTCTTATAGCCTAGGCCATCTTTGTGGAGAGCAAAAATTCTATTTTTCACATCCTCAGAGAGTCCTTTGCCATGAGGTGCCATGTTGACTATCCAGTGGCCAGTATGAGAGAATTGTACCCAAAACACCAAATTTAACAGCCCTGCTCCCCATTCACACCTGGAACCTTGTAACTCTAACAAGTCACATGACACCAGGGAGGGACAGCGACACAATTCGGCACAATTTGGACATGTTCACTGTGAGGTGTACTCACTTGTGTTGCCAGCTACTTAGACATTAATGGCTGTACGTTGAGTTATTTTCAGAGGACAGTAAATCTATACTGCTATACAAGCTGTACACTGACTACTTTGTTATATCCAAGTTTCATTTCTATAGTGTTGTCCCATGAAAAGATATAACAAAATATTTGCAGAAATGTGAGGGGTGTACTCACTTTTGTGAAATACTTTATGTAGATGTCATGAATGCCTTATGTTTCCACCCTTACCAATTTCCTGCAGCATATTGGAATTTGTGCTAACCTACATCATCTCCAGTCAGACATTATGTATTATAGACAGTATCAAAATTAATATATTAAATCATGGTGTCAACAGAGTTAGAAATATATTACTAGTTCATGTTTGCCTTTATTAATGGTTTTCCATATCTAACTCGGTTCTTTATTAAGATATACACTTAATTATTTCCTGATGTGTTATGTATTAATCTGTGCATTATTTTACTGTGATGAAAGCGTTAGTTAAATATTGTGGCGATGGCCATGGGGTGTGCAGCCAATCAGGAGCTGGCATGCAGGGAAGAGGCTCATGGCAGGTGCACACCCCAGTGAAAAAGGTACTGTTTATGTTGTTGTCTGTTAGTTAAAAGGTACGATGTGATACATGTATTATTCTGTGTTAGGGTGTGGCTGTTTGTGTGTGGGGTGGGGGGAGGGCACCAGTTGTGCAAGGTGTGTGGTTGGTGCTGACCTCCCCTACTGGTACTCATGTAGCACTATGTTACACCCTGCCACCTGGCCCTTGGGCTCTTTAAACTGCATGAGCCAAGACGACGAGACATGATTGGTTCACGAAGGTAACACCATACAGATAGGGCCAAAACTGGTGCAGCCCAGCAGCAACAGCCAGCAAATTCCTCCACCAGCTGTAATACGTACTCACCCTCTCATAAACCTCCTATACTTGAGAAAGGACGATGCAGATGCCTTTGTTACTACAATGTCTACAATGAACTTGCTTCCCACCCACAAAACTGGTAATAAAGTAAAGCTTTCTACATTAAGTACTGTTAAATAATGACTACTACTGCAGGTTCATGTTGATTAGAGGATGTGGGCAACACCTCTGTCCTCCATGCTGCAGACTGGGCTTCAGTTCCTGACCTGGGCAAGCACCCTACCCTATACCGTGTTGTTTATTAAGTAGCGATGAAGTGAAGATGATGAAGGAGACTCCGCTGACACCGCATTACTTGTATAAGATGTTTATTACAAAGTAAAACAGTATCATATCCAGCACTATAAAGTACCTGAGAGAGGATCTGTGCCAATTCTAAAATGTCCCCTCCAGACCACTATAGCCAATGGTTTATATAGGCTGCTTGTTGTTGATAAAGGAGACAGAACATATGGTCCTGTTTAAAATGATCTCATCTATTTGGAACTAAGAGAGAGAGAGACCTACTCCATCTGGGGCCTCTGGAACAGAGGGCCCCCCTTAACTTTTCCATTCCAAACCCCTGCAAAAACAGACCACATGGAACTTCAGACCTCAACTTATACTGGAAGTTTAAGTGTGTTTTTGCCTTCTTTTATAAAACTATTCTTCTAAATACACCTCAACCGCTATATCACTAAACCTCCTATAAGACTTCTAATGCTACCTTCAACTACCTCTGTAAAAAATGATCATATCGTAAGTTGCTCTGGATAAGAGTGGATGCCCAATGTCATAAATGTAATGTTCTATGCTGTATTTTAGAACAGCTCTTGGTGAAGGTCTCTGTTCTGTGGCAGACTTCTAACTCCAGGCCTGACTGCTAACAATCCTGTATGATAGTGATACACAGACAACATCATTATGTGGAGCACACGTTTACCTATTACATACTGGTAACGTTCTGTAAAATGAAGTGGTACCAAATTAATTTTATGTTTACTTGTTGAGATTGCTGTCCAATATGTTATATGTTACACTTGTTATGAGTGCTATATTCGTAAAATAGGCGATTCATAATATGACATAACACCAGGATTTAGACACAGTATATCATTAATAATTTCAGACATAAGCTACATCTAACTGCCCTTAAATCATTATAATTACGTGCATAACGCAAGATTATATGATTTCATAATGTCAGGTTCCATAATGATGTGTGTGTGCTAGGGTTTACTGACTTATTACTGCTGCTTATTATTACTGAGTTACAAGTGTATCTGTGTGTGTGTGTGTGTGTGTGTGTGTGTGTGTGTGTGTGTGTTCTTCAGGGTGGATCATGGAGGGGAGATCAGGATGAAACCAGGACTGAAGAAATGTAAGATACACACACACTCACACACACACACACACACACACACACACACACACACACACAAACAAAATATATCTCCTTTAATCTGTGTGTGTGTGTGTGTAACTGTGTGTGTGTGCATGTACAGATGCTGTTGATCTCACTCTGCATCCAAACACAGTGAACAGGTGTCTCTCTCTGTCTGAGGGGAACAGAAAGGTGGAGCGTGTGTTTAAGGATCATTCGTATCCAGACCATCCAGACAGATTTGATGGCATGCCTCAGGTTCTAAGTGTGGAGAGTCTGACTGGACGCTGTTACTGGGAGCTTCAGTGGAGCAGTCAGAGGGCTGATATATCAGTATTATACAGAGGAATCAGGAGGAAAGGAGGCATATTTGAGTGTGGTTTTGCCTACAATAATCAGTCCTGGAGTCTCCAGCACTTTGTAAGCAGATACACTGATAAGAGATACTCCTTCTGGCACAATGAAAAGAGAACCTACCTACCTGTCCCTCCTTCACCCTCTAAAAGAGTAGGAGTGTATCTGGACTGGGAGTCCGGCACTCTGTCCTTCTACTCCATCTCACCTGACACGCACACAATGTTCCACCTACACACACTCTACACCACATTCACTGAGCCGCTCTATGGGATTGGGATTTATGATTACCCTGTGTGGTTGTGTGAGATAGAATAACCTCCTGAATCCTGCAGGAAAAATTAAAACACCAGAAACACACTACTGTGTGTGTCATGGTAGATTTTGACAGTATTAATACATACAGTTAGGCTTTAGTTTATAGCACTAGTAATATACTTGTTAGGTACAAATGATATCCCTTTTCCATCACATTGATGACTGAAAGTTATTCTACTGACACCTGGTAGCCAGTGCTTATTTAGTTTCACCATTCTAAATATATTAAAATATTTCAGTACCATTTTATCTGACATATTCTTACATAACATATTCATAACATCCTACATAAACATAGTATGTTCATGAACATTCATAAAGCATACATGCTTTACATGATATTAATATTGAAAACTATGTCATTTAACTGAGAAATATTTTTCCACTTTTTATTTTATTTTGAAAAACTATATGATTTCCAGTGAGACTCTGACCTGGTTTTACCCCTTTGAACACAGTACTTTGACAGTTGAAACTTCTTTTTAATTATTTTTTTTCTTAACCTTTTGTATTTTGTACTTTATGTTTTCTTTACAATGTTATTGTACCAGGAGATTAATCCAGTTTATACATTGTTAAGGAAAACAGTATTTACTGTGGGGCATTAAATTCTAGCACTGTCATCACAATGATAATTTAGAGGTTTTTTTTATTTTTAGTCATTATCTTCCTTACTTATGGTATTGGAGATGTTACAAATATAATCGTGCATTAGTTGTCCTCTTTGATTGACACACATTGAGGTTAAATGTTATACACACTGTTATCCCAAGGACCAATCAATTATGTTACTGTAGCATGGCATGTGCTACCCCGGGCTCAAGGAGGACGCTGGAGGCAGGGTTCAGTGCTGCAGCAGCCATATTTATTAACACAAAATAAACAAACTCCAAACAACCCAAATAATCAAAGCTCTGCTGGCCACTTTTCAGTGGCTTCCACTAGCTAGACTTTTCAGTCTTCAAGCCTTTCAGCTCCTCAGTCTCTTGCTGCTGCTGCTCGTCCCTCTCTCTCTCCCTCTCTCTCTCTTTCTCTCTCTCTCACTCTCTCTCTCTCTCTCTCTCTCTCTCGGTTCCCTCTCAGCTCTTTTAAAAGGCGCTCACCTGAGCACCTGAGCCGAGAGGGAACGAGAGCTCGCTTCTCCGCCTCCTTGTCACCGCCCCCAGCTGGCAGCTCAGCCGCGCGGGTCGAACGTGAGGTGTCTTCCTCCTTCTCCCGCCGTCACTCGCGTCACTCGGGTTATTCGGAGAAGCTCGGGTTTTGCGCTCCGCCCCCTCCCCACTCGCGGCTCTCTCCCTGCCGTCTTGGCCGAGGTTCGTCGCCGCTGGATGTCCCGGGGGGCGGGCGCATGCCACATATGTTTTTTTGGCATTCATTTTTCAATTTTGCCATTTATCCAGTGATAATTGGTAACTCTTTGACTTTCCTCACTAAGGGTGCTGATAAATTTGTAAATGTGCTTTATAAATAAAAGTAATTCTTATACATCTATTAAACCAAAGTGGTTCTTTTATGATGTTGTGCAGAGAAGCACCTTAAGAACCTAGCCTCCTTTCCATTGTATGATATTGATAGCAACATGCCTTTTTCATCTTGGTTATCTTCACACCAATTTCTTCTGTGATGCAAAGTTTTATTACACATTAAGAATAGCTCAGGCGCTTTGCACTGAAGTCCCCATAGTTACTGAATAAACCTTAGTATGTAATGAGCCTGGGATTTAAAGTGGTTAAATTATTAATTATTATTTGTTATTTTACTATCAGGTTCATTGTAAATACATATATTTTACTGTTGATAATCTTTTCATGAAGAATCTGTATTGTAACATTTCCCTTACTTCTTTTAGAGACACATTATTGTTCTCATGTGACCACCCATGTAAAAGAAAATAAACATTGTTTTTTACGCAAAACAAAACTTGTGAAGGTCAATAAGTGGGCAAAAGGGCAAAAAATGTGAAGGTCAGTCAACTTACAATAATGAGGTAAATGATTATGCATAATTTTTTATACAACTCAAAGTAGTTTAACTATCAGTTATTATAACTCACACTTTTTAGCTCTGAATCTTAAGGTCAACAATAAAATGTAAGTGGAGCCTACTCAGAAGCAATTCTCAGCATGCTATTTATTTATTTATTTTTTTCAGTTTAATCAGTCCACAAACAGAACTCTAGCAAAGGTTGCAGGACTGTCGAGATGCTGCAGCATGAAGTGCAGGGCCAAACTGACCATGCCATTAACAGACCTGTTAGCTTTGTATGTGAGAGCAGAACAGCATTCCAGTGATTTACTGAAGATGTTGAAAATCAGTGCTAGGTGGTCCCAGCAGTGCTTTAGGGTGGATGGAGAGACTAAGTCAGGTCCCAGGGCTTTTCTCAGCTTCTGTTTGTGAAAAGCCAGTTAATGTGTTTGTTGACAGAGACATGAGTAGAGGGTAGAGGTGAGAGCGCCAGGGTGGGGGAGGTGGGGATTGGGCTGGCAGATAAAGCTGAAGTTTGTCCTTTATGTCTTTAAGTCTGAAATTGTTCAAGCGTTCGGCGGTCATTCAGAAGGAGGTTTTTCTCACTTTGTAGCTGAAGATCTCTTGGAGGTGTTTGGAGTTGCATTCCATGATTTATGTACTAAATAGGAAAAGAAACATTCACATTCAAGCTATTTACATAGAAACTGAGTAAATATATGTACTGAGGGAAGGAAAAGATTTAATCATTTAGGAAATTTAATACAATTGAACTTGGCATTTCCCATGAATAAAGTTCACTTTAGACTTCAAAGCTCTTTGAAATGTACTTTTTCTTTGGCATTTTATGACAAAGTATTCATCAAAGTAAGTGCTTAACCTGTTTAACCTTCAAGAAATGTTAATATCAACCTCAGGCTGTTAAATCAGAGACTATCTGAGCTTTTTTGAAATGTACAGCCTTTTTGCAACCCTGTTACCAAATTTCAGGGAGATGTATAAATGGAATTTGAAAGCCTCTTTCAATTCAGTTGATTATTTTCTAGCAAGAAATACAGAAATGTATTAAATGCTTTCAGAACTTTTCAAATCAATACTAAAAATCTATTCTAAGACCTAATTTCTTTGTTCTTAGTGTTGTTTTTGTTTTTTTTTATTTAAAACATGTACATTATATTTATATATATATATATATATATATATATATATATATATATATATATATATATATATATGTGTGTGTGTGTGTGTGTGTGTGTGTGTGTGTGTTCCGTTATTCTTATTCCTTTATTTTATTGCTCATTTGTGTTAATTCAAATAAATGGGCGGCTGCACTTATGAACTTCTAGCCAATCATCGCGCAGGAGGCGAGTTTTGGAGGAATACGGGTGGGAATAGAAAAACATCGCCCCCAGATACAGAGATGACGTCAATTGGGGGCGCTGATTCTGAAACGGTGGTTCACCAAAGACAATAAAGTGGAGAAGAAGAAGAGCTCCGCGGTTTTAGAGGGAAAAAGGAGCTGATCTGCTGAAGGTAAAGAGCTGTTTATCTCTTTTTCACTCTGTTTACACTGTTTATAACTCACTCTTACAGAAATAGAGAGAAACAGGAGCTGATCTTCTGAAGGTAAAGAGCTGTTTATCTCTTTTTCACTCTTTACACTGTTTATAACTCACTCTTACAGAAATAGAGAGAAACTTCAGTGTCTATACTGATCATTTTTTGCATATTCACCTTATTGCTGTTACTTTTCTTTTAGACTCATTTTACTTTTTAAGTGATTATATTGAACTCAATGTGCGTAGGTTTGTGTGGGGGCTGCTGGTTTAGTTAGGGATCGGGTGTTGGTTGGTATAAGTGTGCTGTTCAGTTTAGGGGGTTGCTGTTAAATTTGTATGGGGACCCTGCTTAAGTGAGGGTGGGTGCTCCCTTTTGAAGTTAGGGTGTGTGTGTGTGGGGGGGGGGTTCTGGTTAAGTCGTCTTGAGGGGGTATTGTGATTTCTAAGTTTAGGTTTACTTTGTGTTACTAAAACAAACGGGTTACACCACATAAACTACTGCACCACTTTTATGTTAAATTAGTCTTCATTAAATATTTACATCTTGTAAGAAGTTTAAGCTGATTTAACTTTCAAAAGTTACACAACTCCAGTTCAGTGAGACCATAGTTTACATCCACAACTCCAGTTCAGTGAGACCATAGCTTACATCCACAGCTCCAGTTCAGTGAGACCATAGTTTACATCCACAACTCCAGTTCAGTGAGACCATAGCTTACATCCACAGCTCCAGAACAATGAGACCATAGCTTACATCCACAGCTCCAGTTCAGTGAGACCATAACTTACATCCACAGCTCCAGAACAATGAGACCATAGCTTACATCCACAGCTCCAGTTCAGTGAGACCATAGCTTACATCCACAGCTCCAGAACAATGAGACCATAGCTTACATCCACAGCTCCAGTTCAGTGAGACCATAGCTTACATCCACAGTTCCAGTTGAGTGAGACCATAGCTTACATCCACAGCTCCAGAACAATGAGACCATAGCTTACATCCATGGCTCCAGTTCAGTGAGACCATAGTTTACATCCACAACTCCAGTTCAGTGAGACCATAGCTTACATCCACAGCTCCAGAACAATGAGACCATAGCTTACATCCACAGCTCCAGTTCAGTGAGACCATAACTTACATCCACAGCTCCAGAACAATGAGACCATAGCTTACATCCACAGCTCCAGTTCAGTGAGACCATAGCTTACATCCACAGCTCCAGAACAATGAGACCATAGCTTACATCCACAGCTCCAGTTCAGTGAGACCATAGCTTACATCCACAGTTCCAGTTGAGTGAGACCATAGCTTACATCCACAGCTCCAGAACAATGAGACCATAGCTTACATCCATGGCTCCAGTTCAGTGAGACCATAGCTTACATCCACAGTTCCAGTTCAGTGAGACCATAGCTTACATCCACTCTGGAAAGGTTTCATTTGACAGAAACCATTGTTTAATAAGCTGCAATTTCAGGTGCAACCCAGTTTGATTTATTGTTTTCACAGGGTGATGCACCTCATGGACTATAGACTAACTTAAATTCGCCTTTTCTGATGGAAGTAGATTGACTGATGTGTGAGGGAGACTATGATTTGCCACACTCTCTTCCACATCCTTGATGAATAATGTCTTTTTTCTTTTTTAGGGAGGAGACCCTGTAGCCAGTCACCTTTTTCTGGACATTGCATGATTTGCTTTAGTTTATGCTCAATGAGCTTTTTATTTATTTTTTTTAGTAATGTCTGTTTAAAACTGAACCAGCAGTGTTTGAGGCATTCCAGTTTTATCTTAGCCATCACAAAAAATTCAGGTACTGCCGGGCCTTTTTCATAACTGAAGCTGTGTATTTTTAATAGGTTGGGCTTCTTTCTGAAGTAACTGTCATCTGCAAGGTTATTTCTGTGTTCAGAGTTGTCAGATTTGACCCCATTTACACCTGGTCACTTCATGTGACTAGTATCTGGATTGTATCCTAATATTTTAGTGACCAGGTAGAAAACAGGGTGTTTGATCCTAGGTGCCTTACTTCCTCCTAGTATGTGGGCTCATTATTAATTTGAAAATGAGACTAAATTAGTTCTCCAAATTTCATTTTGACTAGAATTGTATTGGTTTATATAAAGGACATAAGGAGGAACATGCACCTCTGAGGACCACCAGTTCTGAGGCATAGAGGGTCATGGTAACCCACGTTTATTTATTGAACTTTTTTCCAGCAAGGATGGCCATAGCTTTGTGGTTTGCAGCTGAGACATCATCAGGGCCAGCCATGTTTCCAATCTTTTGTCTGACCTGATGTTCAGTGATAATGATAGGAGAGATCAGGAGGGGGGTCGTAGGTCCTTTAGAGGTGAGAACGGGCAGAGATGTGGTGTGAAGAGTCTGCAGACATGGTGTCGTAGACTGACTGTAGCTCGGCAGGAGGGAGACAGAAAATCTTTGTTTCCCAGTTCTTAAGCAAAAGATATTCAGCTGTTTTGGAACATTTTAAGACTTTGGCTGGTAGTTAGTAATGGTCTTGAATCTCCTTCAGATAAAAGAACTGTTATTTGAACTGTCACAGTTTATCCATATTTGCTGTTGACTCCACATTCAGCCCTTTCTTTTGGTGTCAGTGTTCCACTGCTGTTTTTCTTGGCTTTGCATAGTGTCTCCAAGTCAATGGAGAACCAGGGTTATTTGTTGTAAATGTCTATAGTTCTTTGAGATGTAAGTCTCCTTGAAGAAGTTTACTTAACTAAACTGATAATAGAACAATAATTCTTTAAGTTCTTGAAATGTTAAAACCTCAAATGCTGTAACCCCATCAGTAGAGTCCTGTTTTGACATCAACATAAATGTCAATGCAGTTCAGGGTTTATCTTTATTTCTAACGCGTTTGCCTATATTCTTTAAGCACTGCTTTAAGTTCAGTGCTCTGTTCCTGATAATATAATCAGCAGAATTAGAAGCTTCTACACTTGAATATTCCTACTGAACCAGCTACAGTTTTTGTACAGTTGCTAAGAAGCATTTTCAGTACTGAGTTCTCTTCACAACACTTAACTCAGTAACACTTTAGCCTCAAAATCCTCATCAGTGACTCTGGCTCTGTTTGGGGTGAGAATCAGGCCTGAATAATCTCTCCACTGCTGCAGAGCTGCTGCAGCTCCACAGAAGAACTACATTTTTAGGTAAAATAACACAATACTCCTTTGCTCTTAAATCATTATAACACAGTTTCCACAATAAATGGTGTTAAACGCTGGAGTTAATGCATAACTGCTAATTCACCAACCTTTAACGCTGAAGACTGACATGCAGACTGCTGGACAAATAGCAATGCAGATAACAAAAGGCAAAGAGAGAGATTTAAGACAAACATCAATAATTTGGAGATGAATGGACTTATTTGCATTTATAAGTGCTCAGCTGGTTTCCTCCTATGTTTAATCTGCAACAACTCATGAAGCTGAAGTCAGCTTCTCATTCTCCGGCTTCTCGTTCGAATTCTCCTGTTCTACCTTAAATGGCACAGCAGTACAATCTCTCATTTAAGGTGGAACGGGACAATACGAACAAGAAGCTGGTGAATGAGAAGCGACTTTAGACTCGTAAAAATTCTAATGTTGAAAGACATTTTACAAGAAACTCGCAGAAAAGTTTCCTGACTGAGGTGCGAGGAAAAACAGCTACAGCTGACCTGAAGGTTAAAGCAGAGTAAAGTAAGTCTTTTAGTTTTCATTTTATATTTTTAGCACATTAGCACATACTGAGACTTCTTTACAGCCAAGATGGTAAAATGGATATAAATGTTGTGGCTCCCAAGGGGGTTTGATTTTTGTTGAAAAATGGCTCCTCTTAACATTTCAGCTGCCAACCTCTCAGCTAAGCTTGCTAGTAAGGGGTGATCAGTTTTTTTGCTCAAACTCTCTGCAACTCTGCAACTGTGGTTCTGCTGAAGGGTGACAGTGTGCAGCAGGGAGCTCTCAAAAAAGGTTAAATGGTCTCAACCAACATGTCAACAATGTTGAATTTTACTGATGTAAGTTTCTAAAAAACTAAATTTCACTTTTCTCATCTAGTAAATAGCACTTTGTCCAGTGATGTAGGTCTGTATTCTTTTTGGATCATTAAAATCAAGTTGGGATCAAAAACTTGACCACAAAACATGAAATAAATTGAGACCATAACACAGAGCTGTATCAGATGCACCATGTGCCCCTCTGCCGTGTGATCTGTGAATACACCTTTATCTTAGATATGAGGCATTCAGGCATCCTTTCATGTATTAAGAACAAGTAAATAAGTTAGTGTGTTCTTGAGAACCTGGCAGTCCCAGCACTATAGAGAACCGCCTTTCAAGATCAGGCTGGTTTAATACATGATCCTGAGGCCATCCTCCTTCTCAGCTCTTTTAGTATTATTTGGTATAATTTTCAATAAATAAATGAATTACTACTTTTAGTATGCTTACTGTTGAACAGGTGAACATCCCCTTATTCAGATTTGCTACATTCTTTTCATGTGAGTGTTCTTTACTGGAAACATTCATATGCTAATCACAAAAGATGGGCGGTGTTGGAAAGCTTGTTCACCAACACCCATTTTTAAGACCTTTTTTTATTTACAAATGATCAGTCTCACTTGAAAAGTTGAGTGTGTATATTTAAGAATAGACTAAAATTAATAAACTTGGAATGAGAACTCAAAAACTAAATTAGAATGAGATTTAAGTATGTTTTATAAATATAGCCCCACTTGCTGGATCTGTGGGAGGAAAGGCTTTTTTATCTTGATAAAATGTTATTCAGCTGGTTTGGGATTAGCTGCAATATTTGCTGCAAAATTTGTGGATAGTAAAGGTCTGGAGTCACCTCCCAAATGGAGGAACATTTCATGTGAGAAGAATTACTGTATCTCTGTATTTGTATTAGGCATCTTTGACTGCTTTGATCAGTGCAAACTTAGACCTTTTTTATCTACCATTGAATACGCCTTCTGTGCTCTGCCCACTAATATAGATTTCTCTGAAAACTGGCCCTTTTGATCAAGGTCAGTACAGTTCAAGTGTGATTTTCTCAATTTTATCATACTATTTCCCTTAATGTTGGCACTGAATGAAAACAATTGATATTTTAAAACTGGTTTCATAATTGCTTTGCTGTTACTACTCTTCACTGTGCCGTCCTGGCCATCTTGCTATATATCTACCTAAAAAAGAAAAATCCCAGTTTGTGTCACTCTGCTTGCCTCTCTGTTAGCTTGTGGGTATTGTGGTGCCTTAAGTAATATGTTTTGAACTGTATGCACCCAGAGAAGTCAAGTGTGCATATCTGGAGTAGCAGTCTACAATGAAGAGATACATACTCTGATTCAACTTAAAAATGTCTGTGGCTGTGGTTTCTAGTAGAAAGTACATTTTGTGGGGCCAACAGGTTCACCATGGTTCTAGAAAAGTTTCTGACATGATTCACCATAATATATAGTTTCCACACAAACTATAATGACTCTCAGTTCTTGACAGTCTGTTTTTCTCACATGGTCTGTGTTCATGTACTCTTATTGGAATTTTGCTCATCCTTGATCACAGTAAAGTACATCTTTGCTTTCTCATGTGTACGGGAAACTGTACATGTTCATTGTTCAATAAGAACATTATGTATTGCATGTTTTAAAACATCAATATGATTGAGTTAAATAAGTTCTGGCTATGTGGGAATATTGTTGACACAAGTCCCCCCCAAAGAATACCTAAATAATTGGACATAAAATAACTTTAATTAGGTTCTAATCTCTGATCTGTTGCCTCAATAAATCAGTGGTCCTCATTCACCATCTTCTCAAGTTTCTTCTTACGTGTTTTTGAAAAAGGTTCTAAGAAAAAGTATGTCAGATTCATGACGTGTTCTTAAACTGCAGAATTGTTCGCACATTTGTGCTCTTGAGTGTGAGTAGATTCTGCTCTTACCTAAGTGAGTTTTAAGTTCTTCATAAAAACATAAAATTTTATATTTTTTCAGTTATCTTCTTTAATACTTAATCTACCGGTGTTTTATTTTCCTCTCCCTTTTTCTTTTTTTCAGAATAATCTCCTACTGCAAGTCTCCTGCTCCAAACAACAACTTTCCAACTAGTTTTCAAATTTCCCTTCAAAAACAAAGCATGAAACTGCTGAAATAAGGAAAGACTGCCAGGAAGTTCCAGTACTCAGAAAATATGAACACACCTTGCAGACTAACACAAAAGATTGCAGGCAAAAAAACTCACTACTGCTCAGAGTGTGGAAAGAGTTTTATTCAACACAGTAGTCTCCAAAGACACCAGCGCATTCACACAGGAGAGAAACCGTATCACTGCTCAGAGTGTGGACAGAGTTTTACAGAAAGTGGTAACCTCAAAAGACACCAGCGCATTCACACAGGAGAGAAACCATATCACTGTTCAGAGTGTGGAAAGAGTTTTACTACACAGAGTCATCTCCAAACACATCAGTGCATTCACACAGGAGAGAAACCGTATCACTGCTCAGAGTGTGGACAGAGTTTTACAGAAAGTGGTAACCTCAAAAAACACCAGCGCATTCACACAGGAGAGAAACCATATCACTGCTCCGAGTGTGGAAAGCATTTTACTACACAGAGTCATCTCCAGATACACCAGCGCATTCACACAGGAGAGAAACCGTATCACTGCTCAGAGTGCGGAAATAGTTTTACTACACACAGTAGTCTCCGAACACACCAGCTCATTCACACTGGACAGAAACCTTATCACTGCTCTGACTGTGGGAAGAGTTTTACTACGCAGACTAATCTCCGAACACACCAGCGCATTCACACAGGAGAGAAACCGTATTACTGTTGTGAGTGTGGAAAGAGTTTTATTCAACAGAGTAATCTCCGAACACACCAGCTCATTCACACAGGAGAGAAACCGTATCACTGCTCAGACTGTGGACTGAGCTTTACTCAACACAGTAGTCTCCAAAGACACCAGCGCATTCACACAGGAGAGAAACCGTATCACTGCTCAGAGTGTGGACAGAGTTTTAGACAAAGTGGTTCCCTCAAAAATCACCAGTGCATTCATTCCTGAGAGAACAACATCACTGCTCAGAGTTTGGGAAGAGCTTCAGTCATTTAAATTTTAAGGTACACGCATTATTTAATGTATTTCAAATGAAATAAAAAAAATTGATTTGGGCTTCTGTCCTGAGTTAGAAGTGAAATCTTACTTTATCAGGCAAGGGCCTTGATTGATTTAAATGCATAGTTTTTTTTTTTTTTTTTTCCCCCAAGCAGTCAAATGGAACAGTAGGTTTTTTTTTGGTTTTTTTTTGGTTTTTTTTGTTTTGTTTTTTTTCAGCTTACTACAAGTTTCGTCTTCTGAGAACCAGAACAGCCAATATTTCATTTCCACGACCAGTTCTGCTGTGCTGAGTGAGATGAAAAGGGCCATGACTGAAACATCTGAGATGTGCAATGGTGAGTTAAGTAACCCTTATTAATCCCCCAACGGGGAACTTTCACCTCTGCATTAACCCATCCATGCAGTGAAACACCACATACACACACACTAGGGGCAGTGAGCACATTTGCCCAGAATAGTGGGCAAACCTATCCACAGCGACCGGGGAGCAGTTGGAAGTTAGGTGCCCTGCTCAAAGGCACTTCAGTCACATACTTTCAGCCGAGGGGATCAAACAGGTGACCTTCTGGTCACAGGGCTGGTTCCCTAACCTCCAGCCCATGACTGCCAAATCTAGCCCATGGCTGCCCTTAGTTATTCAGTGAGAACAAGTTAGGCTGTTCTCACTAAATAACAATCACTGAATAAAAGAAGACAACACAAGTTATTCAGCATTTTTCACTGTTGAGGCTAAATGTGTTGGTATGGTCAGGCTTCAGTTGTGGCAGAGGTTATCGGGGTTCACCTGTCTGACTATGTATGTATTAATGCATAACATTATAAAAATATACACTATCTGGACAAAAGTATTGGGACACATGCACATTACATCTACAGGAGCTTTGATGACATCCAATTATAAATCTATAGGCATTAATATGGAGTTGGTCCCACCTTTGCAGCTATAGCAGCTTGCAATCTTTTGAGAAGCTTTCTACAAGATGTTGCAGTGTGTCTGAGAGAATTTTTGCCCATCTATCCAGAGGAGCATATCTGCAGTAAGACACTGATGTTGGAGGAGAGGGCATGGCTTGCAATCTCCTTTCTAGTTCATCCCGGAGGTGTTTGATGGGGTTAAGGTCAGGGCTTTGTGTGTGCCAGTCAAATTCTTCCACACCGATTTGTACTTGGTGATTTAAGGCTTGCATGAAGCTATTTGGACATTAAGACCCATGCCATGAAGCTCCTGGTGCCCAGTTTTTTGTGCTGATTTTAATGCCAGAGGAGTGAAGGAATTTATTGTTGTGAAATGTGCTGTGTTGTGTGTGAATGTGCTGAAGTTGTATTTTAGGCTGCCTATTGTTGTGTTTCTCCTTATATGGTCATGTGTGTCACACCTGTCACTTGTCCTGTATAAGCTGGGTCTAATCTTGGCATCAGTCCAGCTATAAAACTGTGACAGTCCATTGTCTTACGGGCTGGCTGGCTGTCTGGAACCTGTGCGCAAAACGAATAAACTTTATTTGTTCAGACAACAGACCTAGTTCCCTGGTTCGTTGGGGTTTGGATTCTATCAGGAGGTTTGGAACTGTGCAGCTATTTAGTTAGCAGAGCGTTGGTAACTTTTAGGCATTATGCGCCTCAACACTCGCCATCACACTCGGCGCTTGCTATGGTCCCTAAAGGCTTCCACTTTTCAATAATACAACTCAATTTATTGCCAAATATCAGCATGGCATTGCATATCAAGATGCCATTGGAGTGGATGATGCAGTTATCTACCTGCTGGACAGAACATACTCTCATCTGGACACATCAGGCAGCACTGTGAGGACCATGTTCTTCAATTTCACCAGTGCATTCAAGACCATACAGCCTGTGCTGTTAGGGGAGAAGCCACAACTGATGCAGGTGGATGAATCCATCATCTCATGGATAATTAACTGTCTCACTGGATGATCTCAGTTTATGTGGCTGCAGGGCTGTGTCTCAGACAAAGCTGTGTGCAGTGTTGGGGCACCACAGTTGGACTGAATTAGCCCCACTTCCTCTGTTCTCTCTTGTTTTCTGTGCAAGGAATGTGCCTGGCTGTAACAAAATCAGCCACTTTTTACATACCAGTCATTGGTTTTACCTTTTGTTTCCTCAGCGAATGTATTATGCCTTTGTGTTAATGTTCTCTTGTTTATTCATATTACAGTTATGTGCATCCAGTGTTTTGTAACTGCTTTGTTCTCTATTGATGAATGAAATGTACCAACTCCCCTTTTCGGGACTGTATAACCTCATGTAATTTTGGCTGCAGTTGGAGATCTCTGGGTTCTTGCAAGAAGCTTCTCCCCAGCCATGATTTTAAATGAACATAATACTGTGATGATTCATCAGAGACTCTGTGACACTGCTGTTGTGTTTATTAGAGATGGCCACCACATTATACATTATATATTATTTCTGTCTTTTTAACAATTGCTTTATTATTAAATTGAGTGCATTATTAACTCTGTCTGTGTAGCAGGAATTCTAATAGAATAAGGTAATTTCTTGACTTTATTTGAGATATCAAATTTCTTTCAGATGGAAAAAATATGTCTATAATAATTTGATTTCTGTTATTGTGTACTGCCTTAGTGTTAAGTCAAGTATATTATTTATCATAATTAATAATAATAGTGTATATAAACGCTAAAGTGTACATAATTTTAATTGAATGCTCTTCTTTAATGTGTCTTTGCCTGTAATATCTTTAGCTGTGTACAAAAATAAAGAGCCACTCTTCTCTATAGAGAGTTCGGGTGTGCTACACTGACCACCTCCATGAAGCAACCACAAAGAACAGAAAGCCCAAAACCCACAACAGCTTAGAGTCATTAAGCGATCTTCTGCCAGTCTTTGTGGGTGCTGTCTTCTTTGCAGCAGTCTGCTGGGGAGGAAGCATCAGAGGAGGTGATGCAAAAAGGCTGAATAAACTGATCAAGAAGTCTGGTGCTGTCTTGGGATGCTCACTGGATGGTTTTGAGGTGGTCTTTGAAAGGAGGTCAGTTAATAAGCTCGCTGCTATTCTGAACAACACATCACACCATCTTGTACTAACAAGGCGGCGGCGCGTGCACATGCTGCGGCTTCTCTCGCTCCCGACTATGCACTCATCACTTTAACTGCTCCATAAGCTCATTCTAATTGCACTACTGTTTATAATTGCACTATTTATACCCACAGATCTTAATCTGTATGTGCTGTATGGCACTTAGGTGTTAATTTCGAGACCTTCTTATATTGATATTATTTTTGTATTATTCTATTTTTTAGAATGCGTTTATTTTTACTATGTGTTTAGTGTTTTTTTTGTGTCTCTTTAAATTCACACATTTCCTGTTTACTGTCCATTTATTGGTTTTGATACACCATGGGGTCTGAGAATAATGCAATTTCAATACTCCATGACCTGTACATATTGTAGTATTGACAATAAAGCTGACTTGACTTGACTTGACACCACTTCTATGACCTACGGGTCAGAGAGTGGAGCACCTTCAGCAACAGACTCTGCTCTGCTGTAGTAAATAATGTATAATGTAAGGTAATGTGCAATCGCTCTGTACAACAATCGTCACTGTGCTGGGACATTACTGTCTACTGAGCCACTGACAGGACAGGCTCACTGGGCACCCACCGGACACTACATCTCTCCACTCATATTTCTAGGCACTCCCACTTTGATTATACATTTTTGCATATTCCATATTGCACGGCCACTTTATTTATTTGTCCACAAACATTGCACATTGCACTGTCACTTTTTTATGCATCAATAAATGACATATTGCACAACCGTTAACATCGTTATCATTTACAGTACATAGTCACTTTTTCATTCTCTGGAGGGGACATGCACCACTGCACTGTCAACCGCATAGTATTTATGTAATTTACTTATTATTTTTGTACTGTACATTATTTTTATTGTTCTTAGTATATGTTTGTTTTATTCTATGTATGTTTCTCTAAATACTCTAAGGCTCCTGTTCATTTTGCCCTTGTTTTGGTCTTAACTGTGCTTTGTACTGCCGCAACAGAAGAATCTCCGTCTGGGATTAATGAAGTGATCTATGTTAAGAGGGGAATAAGAACACATTAATTGCCATTATGGAATCATGCTTCCAAAATGTAACAGCACTCACAGATTACATCATCAGATCCAACATGCAAAATCCAATCACAAAATAAATGAAATGACAGTCCACAATAATAATAAGCAAGAACATGTTATTTATCAGGACTTATGACTCAAACTTCATGAAGCTATTATATATCTCCATATTGTGTGGTCAGATCCCTTCATTAAGTGACTAGTGTAGGCTGCTACACTAGTGAAGTTGAGTGTCACTCTCAAAACCTGGTACAGTACAGGCCTGTCTTTAACATTAACGTTTAGACTTTGTGTCATTCAGAACTACAGCCTTTAAATGGTCATTTTTGTAAAGTACTGGCCACACAAGGTTTAGTATTTTACTGGCTCTCTTGTTTGCTATGCTAATACAAACATTTACAAAATATATTCAAATTGAGTTGTATAGCATTTTTTCCATTGGGTGTCATCACAAACAGTTGTGCACTCTCCTAATAATGTATCCAATTACAAATATAAAAAGAACATAGAAAACAGAGTACTGTATTTAGAATACATCTTGGGAAGGCAAAAAAAACTGTTATACTGTTCCTTGCTGTTATTTATTGTCAGTTTTCTTAAAGTCGTTATTCTGTGAATCCATTCGATGAAAATTCCTTTTTTAAAATTTGTAACTTTTTTTTCACCACCTGTTTCAGTCTGCTGCTGCTCCCGTAATCCCCTGAGCAGGGGTCCAGTACAACACTGATAGTAAATTTATCACTTATACCATATCCACTACTGAGAAGATTATTAATTTAATCATTACTTTAAAAGAGCACAGTAATGCCCGGGATTAGGGACATTGATTTATAAGTCTACTCAAGCTTTAGCAGAGCTTCATTTAGACCCATTTAAAGGTGACCATTAACCATGCCTGCTGGTAGAATTTGGTTCCTTGTCCATCACCTTTACCTTCAGCAAAGCAGTTGTCATCTTGGAGGTGTGTTTGGGGTCATTATCGTGTTGGAAAACTGCCATGCGGCGCAGTTTCCAAAGGAAGGGGATCATGCTCTGCTTCAGAATGTCACAGTACATGTTGGAATTCACGTTTCCCTCAATGAACCGCAACTCCCCAGCGCCGGCAGCACTCATGCAGCTCCAGACCATGATGCTACTAAAACCATGCTTGACCGTAGGCAAGAGACAGTTGTCTTGGTACTCCTCACCAGGGCGTCGGCACACATGCTGGACATCATCTGAGCCAAAAAAGTTTATCTTGGTCTCGTCAGACCACAGGACAAGGTTCCAGTAATCTACTTTCTTGGACTGCTTGTCTTCAGCAAACTGTTTGCAGGCTTTCTTGTTCGTCAGCTTCGGAAGAGGCTTCTTTCTGGGGCAACGGCAACGCAGACCGAATGCAGGGAGAGGGACAGAGTTGGGCACAATTTGGACATGTTCACTGTGTGGTGTACTCACTTGTGTTGCCAGCTATTTAGACATTAATGGCTGTGTGTTGAGTTATTTTCAGAGGACAGTAAATCTATACTGCTATACAAGCTGTACACTGACTAAGTTATATCCAAGTTTCATTTCTATAGTGTTGTTCCATGAAAAGATATAATAAAATATTTGCTGAAATGTGAGGGGTGTACTCACTTTTGTGAGATACTGTATGTAGATATCATGAATGTCTTATGTTTCCACCCTTACCGATTTCCTAATGCTACCTTCAACTACCACTGTAAAAAATTTTCATATCGTAAGTTGCTCTGGATAAGAGTGGATGCCCAATGTCATAAATGTAATGTTCTATGCTGTATTTTAGAACAGCTCTTGGTGAAGGTCCCTGTGTTCTGTGACTTCTAACTCCAGGCCTGACTGCTAACAATTCTGTATGATAGTGATACACAGTCAACATCATTATGTGGAGCACATGTTTACCTATTACATACTGGTAATGTTCTGTAAAATTAAGTGGTACCAAATTCATTTTATGTTTAATTGTTGAGATTGCTGTCCAATATGTGGGTTACATTTGTTATGAGTCCTATATTCATAAAATAGGCAATTCATAATATGACATACAAAACACCAGGATTTAGACACAGTATAATATTAATTAACACTAACACTAATAATATTAGGCACCAGCTACATCTAACTGCCCTTAAATCATTATAATTACATGCATAACACAAGATTACATGATTTCAAAATGTCAGGTTCCATAATGAATGTGTGTGTGCTAGGGTTTACTGACTTATTACTGCTGCATATTATTAGTGTGTGTGTGTGTATGTGTTCTTCAGGGTGGATCATAGAGGGGAGATCAGGCTGAAACCAGGACTGAAGAAATGTAATGTAGCTCCTTTAATCTGTATGTGTTTGTGTGTGTGTACAGATGCTGTTGATCTCACTCTGGATCCAAACACAGTGAACAGGTGTCTCTCTCTGTCTGAGGGAAACAGAAAGGTGGAGCGTGCGTTTAAGGATCAATCGTATCCAGATCATCCAGACAGATTTGATGGCATGCCTCAGGTTCTGAGTGTGGAGAGTCTGTTACTAGGAGGTTCAGTGGATCAGTCAGAGGGCTGATATATCAGTATCATACAGAGGAATCAGGAGGAAAGGAGGCATATTTGAGTGTGGTTTTGCCTACAATAATCAGTTCTGGAGTCTCCAGTACTTTGAAAGCAGACACACTGATAACAGATACTCGTTCTGGCACAATGAAAAGAGAACCTACCTACCTATCCCTCCTTCACCCTCTAAAAGAGTAGGAGTGTATCTGGACTGGGAGTCCGGCACTCTGTCCTTCTACAGTATCTCCCCTGACACACACACATACTGTTCCACCTACACACACTCTACATCACATTCACTGAGCCTCTCTATGCCGGGATTGGGATTTATGATTACCCTGTGTGGTTGTGTGAGATATAATAACCTCCTGAATCCTGCAGGAAAAATTAAAACACCAGAAACACACTACTGTGTGTGTCATGGTAGATTTTGACAGTATTAATACATAAAATTAGGCTTTAGTTTACAGCACTAGTAATATACTTATTAGGTACAAATGATATCCCTTTTCTATCACATTGTTGACTGAAAGTTATTCTACTGACACCTGGTAGCCATTCTTATTTAGTTTCACCATTCTAAATATAGTAAAATATTTCAGCACTGTTTTATCTGAAGGGTGTTTACATAACATATTCATAACATCCTACACAAACCTAACATGTTCATTAATGTTTAAATTAACTTTCATAAAACATACATGCTTTACATGATATTAATATGGACTACTATGTCATTTAACTGAAAAATATTTTTCCACTTTTGAAAAACTATGTGATTTTCAGTGAGACTCTGACCTGGTTTTACCCCTTTGAACACAAAGTGCTTTGACAGTTGAAACTTTCAACTTCTTCAATTTTTTTTTCTTAAGCTTTTGTATTTTGAACTTTATGTTTTCTTTACAATGTTATTGTACCAGGAGATTAATCCAACAGTTTATACATTGTTAAGGAAAACAGTATTTACTCTGGGGCGTTAAATGCCAGCACTGTCATCACAATGATCATTTAGAGTTTTTTTTTTATTTTTAGTTAATATCTTCCTCGCTTATGGTATTGGAGATGTTACAAATATAATCGTGCATTAGTTGTCCTCTTTGATTGACACACATTGAGGTTAAATGTTATACACACTGTTATCCCAAGAACCAATCAATTAAGGTTTTTTTTTCTTTGCATTCATTTTTCAATTTTGCCATTCATCCAGTGATAATTGGTAACTCTTTGACTTTCCTCACTAAGAGTGCTGATAAATTTGTAAATGTGCTTTATGAATAAAAGTTATTCTTATACATCTATTAAACTAAAGTGGTTCTTTGATGACATTGTGCAGAGAAGCACCTTAAGAACCTAGCCTCCTTTCCATTATATGATATTGGTAGCAACACACCTTTTTTCATCTTGGTTATCTTCACACCGATTTCTTCTGTGATGCAAAGTTTTATTACACATTAAGAATAGCTCAGGTGGTTTGCACTGAATATTTCCCCATAGTAAATGAATAATAAACCATAGTATGTAATGAGCCTGGGATTTAAAGTGGTTAAATTATTAATTATTATTTGTTATTTTGCTATCAGGTTCATTCTAAATACATATATTTTACGGTTGATAATCTTTTCATGAAGAATCTGTATTTTAACATTTCCCTTACTTCTTTTAGACAC